CCCCTTTGCTCAGTGCTGGGAGAGCTGGGAGGAGGAGGCAGGGAGGGCTCTGTGTCCACCACTCTCCTCCCCCTGCAGATGGGGCAGGGAGCAGAGCCCCCTACCAGATCTGGGCTGCGCTGCTAGACAGAGCTGACTGTGATCAGCAGTTCAGGTGGAGGGGGCCTGGGGCTCTGGAAGCGTCTCCCACTGGGGAAATGGGTCTTGCTTCCTGTGCAGGTCTCACCCAGGGCACCCCTTCTGGCTGCTGGAGTCTCTGCAGCGGCCAGCTTGAAAGCCTGCCAGGTTCTGCCTGCTGGCATCCCATGCTCTAGGTGGCACTGAAGGGGAGACCTGGGGAGGCACAGGCCCGGCGGGGAGCCCGAACTCTGTCCTGCCCAGGTCTGGCTACCTCCTGTCCTTCTGAAGGAAGTGCAGTGCCCCTAGTCTTCCACGTCTCCTGGGGAGCCCCTGCTGTCTGGACCTGGGTGCCTGTGTGTGCTGGGGGGTGGGGGGGTCGGCTGCACTGCACACTGCAGATCTCAGCTGCCTCTGGACACTGAAAAATCCAATTTTCTTCCTAATTGCCACCGCCCGCGCACTCTCTCTCCCCTCGCAGCCTACTTCTGCTCTGCGGCGCCTCATTCCCCCCACCCTCTCCCCACTCCTGCCTCCCGCTGCCCGCCCCACGGCGGACGCTACCCCCTCCCTGCGGTCACCCGTGTCGGGACGCACCATATATCATGTCTGCCGTCAGGAGGGGCCGGAGCCGGCCAGCCCCCGCCCCGGGCTCCCTGACGAAATCGTCCTTTTCCGAGGCGGATGACAGGTTGTGGGAACAACAGCTTGAATTACGGAAAGAAGTTTCCCCACTGAGTTAATCTGCAGTGGCTGGAGGTGACCTTCTGGAGACGGCGATTAATCATGGGCCGTGGCGGGCGCCGCGCCACGCCAGGCCCTTCGGGGGAATACTAATTCCACTACAAGATAAATCATAATTTGACAATAATCATCTGCCCTAATCACTCCAATTCTTCCGTTTAATTATTTGTATACACCGTGTTTCTTCATTGAGGACCCTGTGTGCCCATGGGTGAGGAGGAGACGGCCACCTGGGCATGGACCCCCTCTCAGGCCCTTCAGACCATTGGGCCTGCTGGTGTGCATAGGGGGCCTGGCTTGGAGCGGATGGGGAGTGTTAGAGGCAGTTTCCATACTGGGGAAACTGAGGTACAAGGAGTGTCCAGGTCTTGCCCAAGGTTACACAGCAAGCTTAGGGCAGGCCCGGGTGACATCTAGGCCTCTGAGGTTCAGTCGTAGACTGTAAGTCATTGTCCAGGAGGCCTTGCTTCTGCTGCTCTGTCCTCAGCCTCTGCAATGCCCGGTCCTACCCTCTGCCTGCCAGTGTGGCAGGGCTGGTGACTGCTTTGTGCCCCCTGGGCATGGTCATGTGCTTAGGACATGAGGAACAAGGACGCGGACGTCTGGGCAGGCACTGCCTGGGTTCCCCTGCTGGGCTGTGACAGTTAATAGGGTCTCTCTTGAGTGTGTAGCCTTTACTTGTAAATTGGGCTGGGCTCCTTGTCTCCCAGGGTGGTGGGGACCTGGCCATGTGCCAGACCCACAGGACTGGTCACAGCTGCCTGCCCCTGCTACTTCCTGTTCTGTCTGGGCCCAGCCACCGGAGCCCTGCATTTCCTACCTCCACTTCCCCTCCCAAATCTGGCCCTTAGCGCTGCTGTATTCAGGCCCATGCTCAGCCAGGAGAGTCCCGGGGCCCTGGCTGTGTCCCTGAAGTCCCCTGAGGAGGGCTGAGCTGTTTATGGGTCAGGCCCCCTGAAGCAGGAATCAGAAGGTCTATGTCTGTCTTTTTGCTGGCTGGCCCCTGGTATGGGGAAGGAGCGGGCAGGCAGCAGGGCGGGGGAGGGCACGGGGCTGCTGGATCGAGGGTGACCCTCCGTGAGGCTTGTGGCCTGCCTTTGTGGCAGCGTGGGAAGGGTGGCTCCCCCAGACAAGAGCCTGAAGCCTGCCGTGTGTGTGCTGATGGGGCCTCAGCCGCAGAGAATGATGCACTGAGCACAGCAGGCCCGGTACCAGTAGCCAGCAGGGTGCTCCTGGCCCCAAGGACATGGGTGTTAGGCTGATAGTGCAGCACAGTCCTTGTCCTCAGGGTCCCCTGTCTTGGGGAAGAGACGTGGCCCCTTTACTCAGACCCAAGATAGGGGAAAGAACAGGGAACAATGCAAACCTCTGTTCTACCTGTCACTGTCTATCAAGCACCTTCTATGTGCCAGGCCTGGTAATATTTTTTGCCTGTTTCACATCTCTGAGTCCTCACTACTGTTTGTGAGCAATGCGATGTCAACCCATTTTACAGATGGGATAATCAAGTCACAGAGAGGTGGAGTCCTTTGCTCAGCATTATCAAACTTGTGAGGACAAGGCTGGGATTTGAAGACAGCATTCCCCTCCATTCCTTCCCATCTCCCAGAAATCTGGGCAAAATCACCGTATTGTAGAGCTCTTGGTCAGAGGACCTGAACGTTCACCTTTCAGGGTCTCCGTCTTCGCCACACATGAGAAGGCCTCAGGGCAGCTGTGAGACAGGTGGAAATGCAGAGCCTGCCTCAGCCCTGTATACCTGCAACTTCCCCAGGTCCAGCCTCTCCCTTCTGTTAGGGTTTCCCACCTCTCATCCATTATGGACGCAGGGCTCCCTCATGTCTGTCCTGGCTGTGTCCACACCCGCCTCTTCCCTCAGTGAACCTGCCTTGGAGCTTGGGCTGCTAGCTCAGGGACCGCAAACAGATCCACCCTGGCCTGTGCCGGGGACTCTGCTGGCTTTGGTGCTGTGTGCCACCAGGCGCCCCTACTCTCCTGCACCCAGCCCCCCAGTGTCCCTGCGCATGGGTTGGGGAGGAGCTCTGCAGGGCAGCACTAACCCTTCGCAGCGCTGAGGACCTCAGCAGGCTCCTTTGGCCTTGCAGGCTGGGTTTCCACCTCTGCAAACGGGTGGTAATAACAATACTAGGCCTCAGTCACTGTTACCTATTGTTAGGGTCAATCTGCGTGGTGAGGTTACAGAGAGGCCAGCCAATGGTGGCCCTCCTCTGGCCTGCCCCCAAATGCCTTCTTGGGGTGCATAGGAGCAGAGGGACCTCCCTTACAGCCAGCCCTCCATTCAGAAAGGCCTGCGGGGCCAGAGCCAGCCCTTTTCCATCAGGGCTGAGGTGTAGGGGGGCTGGTGGGGATGGTAGACCTGAGGCTCAGCGTGGGCCTGGTGGGGAGAGATGGCCTGGGGGGAGAGCAGCTGAGTGGAGGAAGGGAGGCTGCGGCTATAAATACCTCTCAGGTAACAGGGCCCACAAATGAAGGGAGGGAATTAGTCACATTCCGAGGCGCCTAGGAGAGAAGAGGCAGGGGAGCAATGACCTGAATCCACGAAGGGAAAAAATTAGGCTAACTTGGGGGGAGGCTGGGGGCTCTGAACATGGTCCATGGGCAGGGAGGGACCTCCCTGGCAGGAGGGGTCTGGAAAGGACATCTTGTCTCTCCCCAGGTCCAGATGTGTGAGGTTTTTTTTTTTGTCTTTTTGAGACAGGGTCTTCCTATGCAGTTCAGGATGGTCTTGAACTTCCTTTGTAGCCCAGGCTGGCCTTGAACTCGAAGAGATCCTCCTGCCTCAGTCTCCCGAGTGCTGGTGTGCTGGGATTACAGGCATGTGCGCCACCACCCCTGTCAAGAAGTATGAGGTTTGTGAGAGGCACGTTTCTTCTCCAGGGTTTCCGGGCCTCTTCCAACCTCAAACCCAGCCCTCTTTGGAAGTCCTGGAGGTCCAGCCCAGCTTGCTCATGTTTCCCTCACTGCCCTCACTGTCTCTGAACCCTCGCTCTCCCTGGGCCCTGCTCCCTCCTGTGTCAAGCTCTGGGGTCATCCCAGGGTCCCTGGGCTCTGGGTTGAGAAGAAGACTTTTGCTTGGGAAGGCCAGGAGGGCGTGTCCAGCTTCCTTCCTCTGGACTCGCGCTGACTAGAGCTGCTGGTCGCTTAGAGGATGATGGCTGTGGCCTACTCTCCAGTCTCCTGGCCACAGCTCTGCCCCTCCAGGCCAGCTCCCTGCCTGCGGTGCCAGGGCCTGCACTCCCTTGCCCCCTAGGAATGGTGGCCTTCCCTGTGGCCTGAAAAAGCCCCCAGCCAGGCCCCGCACCAGCTTGCGAGCCATGCCTTCTGCCCCGTTCTCCCTCACCCCGGGCCAGCAGCCTGAAATCTTCCGGTCTTTGCAGAGTGCGGTGCCTGCCTCTTGCTTGGCCTGGCAGATTTGTATATTCTTCCAAGACCCAAGCTCGAATCCGAATTTCTCCTGCCCCCTCCCCAGCTGCGCTGGGTCCTCCCTCATTATGCTCTGGAATCACTTCCTGAAATGGTAGTGTGAGGAAGTGGGTAAGATCCAAGTTAGGTGGCCAACTGTGCCTCGTGCTGTGTGACCCGGGGTAGATAAATGAGCTTTCTGGAGCCTCAGTTTCCCCATCTGTAGAAAGGGGTCCTTACGGTGCTTCCCAGGAGGGGTACAGTTTGGGCAAGACCCCGTATTTGGAGGGCTCAGCACACAGTCGATGATGGCTGTTGTTGGGGTCACAGTATTGATCGCGCTGTTTCTGTCTGCCTCCCCTGCGAGCTGTGAGATGAGGGCGGGGGCGGTGCTGCGTCCCCGTGTGACTCGTTGCCGCAGCCGCAGTGGCCAGCTCGCGCCTGGCACTGAGATGGTCGGCAAATGTTTGCTGAATTAATGAGTGGGGGCTGCAGGGAGGGCTTGGGCTGCAGTTCCGCCTGGGCTGCTGCAGCTGGGGCGCCTGTGTACATGTGTGTGCCCCTGGGAGTGTGAATGAGGGGTGTCTGTGGGCGGGGGAGCTGTATCCGTGTCCCGGGGGTCTGGCGGCGCCGTGGGCAGCCTGGCGCGCCTGCTCCCTGGGGTCCCCGCCGAGCGCCTGCCTGGCTGCGGGACCCCGTTGCCAGGAGCAGTCAGGATGCGGCAGCGTCTCCATGGCAACGTGGCATCTCGCGCCGCGCGCCGCCCTCCCCCGGCGCCCCGCAGTGGGCAGGAGGCCGAGCCTGGCAGCCCCTCCCGGCCCAGCAGCCAGCAAGCTGGGCCAGGAGGCCAAAGCCTGACGGGAGGAGTCGAGGAGGGGGCTTCTTATTTTTTTTAAGAATGAGGGGCTGACCTGCCTTTACTTCCCTTCGCATCTGGGGAAAGGAGATAGGAGGGCTCTGTCCAGAGGCTGTCCCCTCCCTGCGCCTCCTGTAGGCCAGGAAATCACGAACAGGGTCTGATCAGGGCGAAAGACCCTCGCTGGCGGAGGGACATTTCTGATCTAAGTCCTGGCCATGAAAATGGCACAGCGATCCCGGCTGGAGCGGCTCTGGAGAGGGCACTGAGGCACTGCGGGCAGTGGCATCCTGTCCAGGACGAGCACAAGCCCAGCAACTGCATCAACCCCTCTGTGCCCGGCACCCACACTGCGCACAGACGCCGGCGCGCGCAGCCCCAGCTACGACGCCCGCAGTGCCCCTTGCTTGCCTTCTTCGTCTCGCCGGACACGCGAGACACGTGGAGCCCCAGCTACGACGCCCGCAGTGCCCCTTGCTTGCCTTCTTCGTCTCGCCGGACACGCGAGACACGTGGAGCCCCAGCTACGACGCCCGCAGTGCCCCTTGCTTGCCTTCTTCGTCTCGCCGGGTCCGCGGACACGCGCGGTGCGTCCTAGTGTGGACCCGCCCCAGGTCCCACCCAGGGTCTTCCCGGTGCTGCCCCTACGTCCCGTCCCTGTGTGGTTTTCTGCTTGTCCAGTACACCACTGTGTTGGATACTTAGTACCTCCAAGGAGCCACTCGGGGAGCACCAGTCACCGGGTGCCTCCTTCCCGTCTGGGCTCAGGGCCCCTAACACTCCTCAGGGCCCACCCGCTGCCCCAGCGCCGGCCGGGGGCCCCAGGGTCGTCCTCCCAGGGTCGTCCTCCTCACCCACCCGGGGCCCGGCACACCCAGCACAGCCGCCGAATGTTTCCCGCACTTCTGTGTACCTGGTGCTCACCTCCGCAAGCTCGTTCTGCCCATTTGCCCCTCCTGCCCCTCTTGCTACGGGTAAACTCCCTCTGCCCCTGTCTCCGCTCTGCCCTCCAAGCCCGACCTACGCCCGGCTGTCGTGCCCGCAGTGGCCAGGAGGGGGCGTACGAGCGGTCACCCGGGGCTCTCGCAAGGGGCGGGAGTGGAGTGGAGTGGAGGCTGGGGGATAGCACTCGAGGTTCTAAAGAGGCGGAGTCCGCGCCCTGGGTGGGGCTGCATTCCAGGGCAGATTTCCCCGAAGTGGCCGCACCCCTACCTCCCATCCTCTGCAAGCCCCTCCGGGCCCGCCGCAGCCGCCGTCGTGGCTTTCGCAATGAGATGGGGCGTGCGCCCTCTGGTGGCCGCGGAGCAACGGCGCTCCCGGGTGGCTGGGGAGGGGTGCGGCTGGGGCTGGTCTTCACCTGCCTGGGCCTGTTTCCCAATCTTCAGCGGTCGGGAGGTGGGCGACACCCTCTTCCCCGCGCACGCTGTGGGTTTTCCCATGTTCTGTGTATGGAGGAAATGGACGGCGCCGCGGCAGGAGAGATCCAGGTTAGACTCCCGAAGCGTCCTGAGTTGGGGTGGCCTTGGCCTGCAGGGCTTGCCTAGCAGAAGGACCGCGCTCACGGAGCCCCCGCTGGAGTTGGAGCACGTGATTTCCTTCTTCCTAAACCTCAGTTTCCTCACTTATATTTTTTGTTTTTTTTTTTGGTTTTTGGTTTTTCTCCGGTACCGGGAACCGAACTCACGACCTTGCGCTTGCCAGGCAGGAGCTTTGCCGCTGAGCTAAATCCCCAGCCCCTTCCTCACTTATAAAATGAGCATCAGAAACTTCCGCCTGTTCTTCCAGGACAGTCCTGAAGGTTCAATGAGACGGTGAGATGGGATGACAGCAGCTAATAGTGTTAACTGAGCACCCTCCTGCTGCTGGGTGTTGTGCAGAGTGATCCAGCGTCTGTGATTCGGAGGTCATTGTACCGGGAGGGTGCAGAGCTTGGCTCTGAAGATGCTTTCTGTCCTGACCAGCTCAAGGCAGGGTGACAAAGGCCCTAGGAGATCTGTGCCTGATGTCAGGCCCCAGTGTCCTCTGTCCCTGCTGGGGCTGGAGGCCGAGCGAGGGACAGCGGGCCCTGGGGAGCTCTCTGTGCAGTGCTCCCTGGTCCTCAGGCCTGGCTGGAACATCGGAACATCCAGGCGCGGGGAGGGAGTAGGGCTGGTTGGTGGAGGAAGCATATGTCCTGGCCCGGGCAGCGGGACCTGGGGGCCTTGCCCTGGAGCCTGGGCGCTTTCCTGCGGAGGGAATATCCGCGGGCAGGAAGGAAGACCCTGGGAGGAGAGGAAGCGGAGGAGAAGCAGGGGACAGGAGCCAGATGGGAGGGAGCGCTTTGGGACAGCCGAGAGAGAGGACATCTGGCCTGGCCTGGCCTGGCTGAGAGGCTGCGGCTGTGATCCGGCCAGGTTTGGATCTGTGTGTGGTGGCAGGGAGGGGAAGGGACGAGGATATGCGTGCCACCTGTTTCCTCCTGTGGCCCTGACGATAGCGCAGGCCTGTAATCCTGGCTACCCTAGAGGTTGAGGCAGGAGGATCACAAGTTCAAGGCCAATTTAGTGAAACCTTGTTTCAAAATAAAAGTCATATTTTTATTAGCTCAGTGGTCGAGCGGCCCTGGGTTCAGTACTCAGTATCAGTGTAGAGGGGGTGGGGAGAACACCTCTGTCTGAGGCTGGATGGGACTAATACACAGGTCAGGGATGTAAAGTACCAACTAGGCCAGATGTACTGTACCGGTGCCTCACGATTGGTCGTCCCTCCTCCCTGGGTGGACTGCCTGATCTGTGAGAAAATAGCTCGGACAGAGTCTGGTGTGCCCAGTGCCTGTGAGCTCACATATTCATTCAACAACCGTTATCAAACACCTACTATGTGTTGGGGTCCAGACTTGTCACCATGAACAGGAGCCAGTCCCTCCCCTCACAGAACTTGTCTGTAGGGAGTAAGATGAGCCACCTGAAAACACAGAGCCTGGGACAGCCCAGACCATGTCCTGACCCAGTCTGGGAGCGAGGCAAGTCTTCCTGGAGGAGGCCCTGTCCTTGTCAGGATCTGGAGGGTGCAGCAGAGGGAGGAGCACCGCGGGGGGTGGGAGGAGGGTCCAAGGCAGAGGGGAGGGCAGGCCCAGCCTGGGCTGGGAAGGCCCAGCCCGCCGCACAGAGAGTGGCAGCGAACAGGGGCAGGAAGGCTCCTGGGTAGCGCTTTGGCTTTCTTCCCTGAGCAGTGGGGAGCCAGAGAAGGTTCTGGGCAGGGCAGAATGGTCAGAGTGGGATAAGCCGAGCAGAGGCACTCAGGACCCCACCATGTGACCTCTCTGCTCTCCCAGTCACACTTCTCTCTGGGCTGCTGTAACCCCCGGGGGGCTCCTCAAAACCTGCTCCCGCTCCTGAGCTACCTTCCCTGCACGACGGTCACCCAGAGGAGGTGGCTTAGGTCCTCTTTGTCGCAGCACTTCCTCAGCCCTTTGGGGACAATCTCTGGCTGTGGCTGTGCTTGTGACCCAAGAGTGCAGCTCCGCGGGGAGAGGGAAGGGCGGGCGCCCTGCCCACTGAAGTGAGGACTGGCCAGGGCTCCGCAGGGCGCAGCCACGCGGCGCTGGCGCACAGGGGCCCTTGGTGAGTGCTCTGCGGTGGCCGCCTTGAAATCCTCAGTGATTTTATCTTCGAATCTGCGCCGTGTCCGTGAGGTCTGGCGGCCAGCAGAGCCTATGTGAGCAGAGGTGTGCGCAGCTCAGTGAGGCCCAACGCGGGTCCCAGGTGAGCGAGGTGAGAGGTCCCGGACATCCCTGAGGGGCCACGGCCTCCGTCCCAACCACAGTTGCCAGGCCCAAAAGGACACTGGTGTCCTAAGGAAGCCGAGTGGCCCGAGACTTCAGCTATTGCCCTTGCTGTGACACAGGCAGGAGCAATGGGACTCTAGCTCTGGTCCTCTCTCTGCATGGTCCGAGTCGAGGCCCGGCGTGCGGGGCAGGCTGGGTGCCAAGGAATGAGGGAAAGCAGCTGGGTTATTCCTTAATGAAGTGCACATGCAGAATCTCAGTGATCGCGCGTGTGAGTTAAACCCTCTTACATTTGCATTTATTTTTTTTTTGTGTGTGTGTGTTTGTTTGTCTGGACATAAGGTATCATTATGTAGCCCGGCTGACCTCAACTCCCAAACCTTTTGACTCAGCCTCCTGAGTAGGTGGCATTACAGGTTCATGCCCCTGTGCCTAGCTGCCCTACCTTCTGAATAAGGCTCTGGTGTTGCCCTCTTGTGCCAGATCCCACAGAGTAACCTGTCCCAGATCTCTAGCTGGGGAGCTATGGGGTGGGGCCTGGGCATGCCCTGCAAGTGCCCAGGAGGAGCCTGGCCTGTAGGGGCAGAACCACCCCTTTCTGCAGCCCCCCTGCCCCAGTGTGCCACTGTCCAGGTGCTGGGCTTTGAAGATGCTGCTGCCCTGGCCCTGAGGAAATTTCACTGACTACCAGGCTGCCGTCCAGCCTGACTAGCCTGGCGGGGTTCTTGCTTCCCTTCCTTTAAGATGAGGCACCTCTAGGGCAGTGCCTGCAGAGGGGCTGTGGGCTGGAGAGGAGCTACCATGCCCCTCTCCCAGCACCTGAGCCCTCTCTGCTGATTTTCCAGCAGGCCAGACTCAAGTCTAGCACAGGGCCTTTGTACTTACTCTTCCATCTGTCTGTAGTTCACATTTACCTGATGATTGATGACTGACTCTTTGTTGTTCTTTGGTTCTTAGTATAAATGTCATCTCCTCTGGAACAGTGTGCCTGACTGCTCTAATGGACATCCTTTCTCCACGTTTTTTTTTTTTTTTTTTTGAGTCAGGGTCTCACTATGTAGTTCAGGCTGGTTTTGAATTCACTATGTAGCCCTGGCTGGCCTTGAACTCATATGGATCCTCCTGCCTCAGCCTCTCAGGTGCTGGGATTACAGGTGTATGATACCAGGCCAGGAGATACTCCCCCCTTTGCAGTTATTCTGTTAACTTTACTTTTTAATTTTCTGTACAGCATTTACCAGATGAATATGTATGTGTGTGTATATATGTTTTAATGAAGAATCAACGTTCTTGGACACTCGGCTGTGTCTCTTCTTGCCCTTGCTTGTGGCCCTGGCTGCTGCGAGGCTGCTGTTGCCTGGCAGAGCAGAGCTTGCTGATGGAATGCAGACGAGCCACGGAGAAGATGGAGTAGCTGGAGAAGCGGGCTTGGGGCTGGGGCCGCCGCGGGGGATCTCGGGGAAGAGCTTTGCTTGGGACCCTTTGCGAAGCCCAGGTCTCCCGTGGCTGAAGGCGGTGAGAGGGGAGACAAAGAGGCTCGGTGGCCACTGGTGCGCACGACTGTGTCTCGTGCCAGCAGCAGGGCTGGGAGGAGGACAGCACGGGGGGCCGGTGGTCGCCTCTGGCGGGGATGAGACAACACGGGTGGCATCCGGCTTCGCCCTTCCTGCAGGGCCAGCGGCTGCTGTGGCCGGTCTGGAGCTGGGCAGGGTGACCACTTCCAAGCTCTGCCAGGACACAGCCGCCTCGCCACCTCCCCACAGGCCTCGGTGACTCCCAGAAATGCTGCAGCCCTGATGCCCTGGTCTCTCCTGTCCCGAGGAAGTGTCCACTCCCAAGTCCGGGACTCGTCACCCTCTCCAGGCCGGGCGGAAGCTGACCCTTCCCAGCTCCCGCCTCGCGCCCTGGGACAGTAGCCGGCTCCCCTCATTTCTGAGCCTCTTGCTCCCTTCAGGCCAGGCCCTTGAGGTCCGGGGGTGGGCCCAAGTTCTCACTGAGTGGCAGCACATAGTAGGTGCCCCAGGCAGACTCCACCTGCTTTTACCGAGTTCCCGGCACACAACAAGCAGAGCAAGCCCGACACATTGTCACAGTGTATTGATTGATTGATGGATTTTGGTACAGGGTCTTGAACCCAGGGCCTCATGCATGCCAGGCAAGCAATCTAGCACTGAGCCGTACCCCTAGCTACTCCCTCCCTTTTAAAAAATGTTCTATTTGGGGGCAGGGTCTCCCTGAGTTGCCTGGGCTGGCCTCATACTACAGATCCTTCTGCCTCCGCCTCCTGAGTAGCGGGGATTTGGGCTGTGCTGCTGTGCCTGGTTTCATTTCATTAGTGCTAATGGTGGCAGAGTACAGACAGCAAAAGCCCAGTATTGTCCTTCCCAGCCTGGTTGTTCTGTTATCACACTGCTGTCAGGGCTCCTCCACGGGGTGGTGTGTGTGGGGCTCCTTCTGGGGGGCAGTGGGTACTGTCCACTGTGTACCCCACCACGTTCTGCTTAACCACCTGGCCGCCGGTGGATGCTTAGGTCACCCCCCCTTGCTGGCCACTACGGCTGCTGCTGCTGTGAATGGGGCCCAGACAGTGCTTCGAGCCCCTTTTCTAGTCCCTTTGGGAATATGCCCAGGTGTGCAACTGCTGGACCATATGGAAATTCTGTCTTTGATTTTTTGAGGGATCATTTTAGTCCTGTGCTCTCCCCTCCCCTCTTCTCCCCT